TAATACTAACATCTAGGCCTAATTATTAACTCTCTGATATGTCTGCACGAATAGACCGAGATTTGTTCCATTGATTTTATCTGTCTAAGAGCCCAACTTCGAAACCATCTTATTCGCATATCACTGTTGAAAGTTATTGATCAGGCCTGTAAAAATGGTATGTAACCGCTCTGTCAGAAATACATACTACATAATCACCAAACGTGTCATCAACACGTCTAGAGTATTTGTAATGGTACTGGACCATAACCACACAATCTTCAAAGCTGAATACGAGATTACTCGGAAAATAGATATTCAATATTTAACGCGAAGAAATACCTAACGATGGAGAAGGCGCGAACAATGAATTGAGTGAATTAGAGTTGATTGAATGGCATGGCTCATCCATGCAGGCGTGGTCCCTCTGAATGTTACCTTATATCTTCTATTCATATTAAATATATTGTTCTTTCTCTAACCTAACCTTGTTCTACATCACGTATTGGTAATTGATACGATACAGTGAGTTGGTGTAGTCGATGGTGTGACTTCCACGTCAGATCTTATAGATTAGGCAGTTATATCATGACAAATATACAATTTTAGGATTAGGTCTATTATTAGAGCAGTACTAATATCATAGTAGACCATAGTTCCACAGATTTTCCCACCCGTTTGGATGCTCATTTAGACTTCGTTTTCATTGATGATGTGGGTATATATGCGACTCGTAAGCGTGCCCCATTGTCTAGCTCGGATCACTGTATAATTCGTGCTCTACCCAAAGTATATGGAATGTATGGGAAGAGTACACTCTTACATGAAACCAAAATAGTCGAATATATGAATTACAAGAAAACATCCGAAATCTGCAAAACATATTTAATACGACTAACTGGGAATTATTTACAGATGACTCACTGGAAATCACTACTGATGTTATCACTTGTTACCTTAAAGTCTGTTTTGATATTTATTGTCCCACTGAAACCTATTTTGTAAGTTTTGATCGACTTACATCTTCACAACTAAAACGACTACGAAGGGTAAAAGAAAGAATGTACAAGGAGAAGAACTCTAATGAAGTACTTAAACTAAATGGTCTGATAAACCTAAAGATTAGACGTCTGAACTCTATGTTTACTCAAAAACTCTTGTCTTGCAAAAACTCTCCAAGTATGTGGAAACTCTTTAAAGAACTTACAGGTGGCAGAAAGTTTAGAAGCGATAACCAGCTGAATGTGTGTGACTTAAACAAGTCTTTTGTGCGTCAGTCATCTGATGTGATGCTCCCTTTATCTACGGGTTTAAAGCATAGCTGTGTTCCTACTTTCACTGAAACTGATGTCTGAAGATGTCTCCAGTCAGTTAATTCATCTCGATGTTTGGGACCTGATGGTATCCCAAACATCCTTTTTAAAAAGTGTACTGACATCTTATGTTATCCGTTCACAACTATCTGTAACAGATCCTTCTCATCTAATCTCATGCCGAAAATGTGGAGAAAGATGAAGATAATTCCTGTAACCAAGAAAGCACTTGGTGATAAAAATGTAAAATTTAGACCTATTGCAATAACTTCACCCTCCCTCAAAACAATGGAAAAATTATTAATACTTCCATTTCAGCCTGCGATAAAAGAGCATATTAATCCATATCAGTTTGCCTACAGATGCAAAAGAAACACATTGGATTCTGTTGCTGTTCGGCATCACAATATAGTGTTCAACTTAGAAAAGGGTAAGAAGTATTTTCGACGCACTTTTATGGACTATACTTCAGCTTTTGATTCTACACGAAGACAACGTTTACTTAACAAGTTAATCAGCGTCAACACTGACAGCTGGATAACCAAATTGCTATGTTCCTACCTCTCTAGAAGCGAACAGTACAATTTATTTGGAGGAAAGTGTTCAGAGTCTCTACTGTCTCATGAAGGTGTACCACAAGGAGCTGTTCTTTCACCTCTTCTTTTCTCTTTTTTTCTGCATGATCTGCCACCTTCCACAGAAAACACTTCTGTGAAATATGCGGATGATCTCACTGTATGTATGCCTATCTCTTCCTCTTTACATTCCATAGAAATGAATGAGTTTTTGTCTCGTAGTGATTGTTGGTCTCTTGGTAATGGTCTCATACTTAATTCGTCCAAGTGTCAAGCTATTAACTTTGGCATGAGACATGAACGGGATCTAAACACCATTTTGAGATCCCATAATGCTTGTGCTATTGAAGACTCTTTGATAAACACGGTGTCGAAGGTCAATTATCTTGGTATTACCTTTTCCTCTGATCTCTCTTGGTCTTCTTATATTTTCTGTTATCGAAGAAGGTTTTCCGTCTGACTTACTACATAAAGAGATTGCATGCTCTTAGGATTACTCGTCATTTACTCTTACAATTTGTCAATTCTTGGATATTACCTATTATTCTTTATTGTTCTCCATCATTTTTCCCGAGCTTTTGACAAAAGACTTTGCTGTGTTGTGGAGAGTGTTGAAGGCAGTTAGCAAGATGTGTGGTGAATCTTTTGAGGTCATAATTAATATGGTTGTGGATAGACATTTAAAATCATGCAAACTCCTGGCAGGGTTATCTTATCAGATGCTAACCATCCCCTTCACTCATATCTTTTTCCTTGTATATCATCTGATATAACGGCACATAATTACATTAAAATCCATGCATGAAAGCAAAAGTATAAAAGTTCTATAATACCTTACCTAGCAAATATACTCTGTGACGAACAGGTTGTTAGAGTTAACCTAGTCAATAACCTGCATTCTTAACATGTCTTCAATTTTAAAAGTTGTACAGTTTTTCGGTTTTTTAAACCTTTTTTGTATTTGTTGCTGTTTTCTTGCGTAAGTAATTTGTTGAAATACCCTGTACTGAGAATTTCTATATTGTACCAAAATATAACATTGAATAAAGCCATTATTAATAATAATATACCCAGGTTCCTGCCTGGAGTTATTCGTGATCCTCTGCTATTAGACGCGGAAGCCTGTTGAGCGAAAGCTTCTTCTATTTCGTCCACAACCATTTGAACCATTTTGAACATTGGATATTGAGAAAGCGGGTCAATCAGTTGGGGCGGAACTGGAGTATGCGCCTGTGGCTTACGTCCCCTGTTTGTATTTCTGAATGTCTGAGTCATGCTTCTGATTATTTCATTACTATCTAAGAAGGACTTTAAATAGTTTTTCTAGTGGTTATGTACCATTCTAAAATGTCATGAAAATATATGCCAGAGACTGCACTATTATTTCACTTTATTCTGCTGCCCCTGGTGCCATGGGGTTAGTCTTTAGGTACAAGTATGTTACATGACCAGTCCAAAATCCGTTAGTACGAAAGTGCTTGTAATGTAACAGGTTATAGGACTTAAAAAGTAAATGACTTCATGGGGCCATATGTTTCTGGTCTCAAAACCTGATTATTGATCGATCTTTAGTTTATCTTATTTACATAGCTTGAATAGCTTAAGTTCATGTTTACCCGTAGGATCACTGTTATTGTCGTTTCGCCCATGAATCATTGGTTCAAATATCTGGTTATCCAGGTCATGAACGAACCAAGTGTATTTGAAGATCACTGAATAGAGAGGTGCTAGTTGTAGTGCATACTGGCAGTTATTGTCTACAGAATTGTATGACTAATATTCTAAAGGTGTTTATAAAATATGTAGGATAATGATATTGTAGTAGACTGTAATTTGCACCATATGAGGGTGTTTGATCATATGCGTAGATTGAAACATGCGGTAGGTATGAATATCTAATCAGCTTCAGTATGGTGAAAATCCCCATGGCAAAACTATGATTTATGGACGAACCAATAAGGTATAAGATAATAGGCCTCGGATATTGGCGCGAAATTCACTCATCCAGTTTGGTTAACTAGAGTTTTGGCATTACAGCTGATGTAAGTTCGTGATGAAAACCCGAAATGTAATTCTTAACGTTAATCATCAACTGTAAAATATAATTATGATTCCTCACACATCTTTAGAACCTTCATTTGGTCATAGATATTAGATTGGCACTCTCAAGGTCAGCCTAGCTTAGCTCAGTGGTCGTCCACAAATAACAGTCTCACCAAATAAAGGTATGTCTTATCCTGAAGTAAGAATGTTAGAAGGATAATAAATGTGAACATCGTATAATAAATTTTGAGCAAGAAGTTGGAAAATAAACGATTTGGCGGGAACCAACATGGTGACGAATAGAATACGTAGGTTTATTCAGTTGAGGCATGGCATACGTATACGCCATTCGAAGTTGCCATGCTTTGTGAGTAATTAATGACACAAAAAGGAAACGAAAAATAATCATATCCGTCGGACTGAAGAGGTGAAATTCAGGAGCATGTTCAAAAGCAAATGTTTAAGATTTTTAGATGGTGTGTGCTGAAGATGATAAGGACTAGATGTAATTGAGCCTGTGACGAATTTTTACTTTCCAAATGTTCGACCACTGCCCTTAGACATGCTGGTTCTGTTCATGGAAGTTCGGCTAAGTTTTACTTAATGCAATATTGTATATTGAAGTTTTAAATGAAGTATGAAATGTGAGCTAGTTCCAGTATATTGTTGACCATTACCCTGTACAAGAGAGTGAAAATGATTATGTGATGAGCAGGATTGTGTAAGTTATGCACCCACTTCTTGTCATGTTATTGAACTGATAGACTCGGTATCAAAACACTAACTGCATATTTCTGTGAATAGTTTACGTTATAGAGGATAGGTTCGATTCCCTCACTGAACTGTTTTATGATGGGATATCTATCAGAGAGTGACCTCATTTGATGCTAGCCGTTTCACTTCTGTTATCAAAATATCTGTGAGATAGAGGATTAATTGACAAGCTCAGCTGTTATATTTCCGCGTAGTTTTCGTAATGGTTAGTTCAATTAAGTGTTGTTAAGTTTTATTTTTGTTTTGGCTACTGCACAATATGCATCAATGTATCTGTTGATTTCTACTTTGGTATCTAGTGATTTTAGTGCCGATAATGATCATCGGTTGCTCCAAACTTTGTAATCTACTGAAATCATCGGTATGTTTTTATCTAGAGTTCTAACTGTGTTAAAGCTTTATTATCGTAGAATTCAACCGATCACTGCTTGTAGCCTTTTGTTGTGGAGACGTTCCCAATCACACTGCAAGGTCAATTTATCTACTCGTGATCTTGTGGAAGTGGTTAACCAAAAAGCCAAAATTCACAAATATATAAAGCCACAAGAGCCTGAAGAACCTTTGTACGTGAATAGCCTGGAAAGATGTGACTCAGAAGAGGATTTGAACGTCATATCGGAAAATGATCAGTTGGATTTTGGTGCTCTTAGTGCGGGTGGGTGACTAAATATGCGTTGTTTTTGTGATATTTTGCAAGAATGCTGCCAGTGTTATTTCTGTATTGTAAGAAGGGAACTGTAAAGATGCCAATATTGGTGTGTGGAGTGGAAGATGTTTGTGTTGTGACAGTGGTTTAGTCGTTGCATAAGTGAAAATGTGGTTTGATGGTGCAGAATTTAGGGTCAGACTACTTTGTGATGAGTTTGAACCTTTCTTCATGCTTAATTCTATAAAGCAGGTGTAGACTTGTTCTACTGTCACTTTTGTGCAAATTAACCATACTAAATGGTTTGGTGATGACGCTGATAAAATGGTAGCACTGAGTGACGGCTGCGAAACGTGATCATTAAGAGTAGAAGATACTCGTAAATTGTTAGTATTTGATCATAGATATTTTAGAAATACTGCTCGCATCCGCTGGGGTCACCGGGTAAGTAATAGTGAGGTTAGACTCAGGGTATTAGAGAATGATGGTAAATCAGTTGATGAGGTTGTAAATCTTCATCGAGTGAGATGTTTGGGTCACGTGTTGCGTATGCCTGAACACCGATCACTACGACGCGTAATGCTCACCAGTATTGGAGATGAATGGGAAAGAGTTAGGGACGGCCAAACCAGAACGTGACATCAGTGCTTGAAGTCACTAACTTCTGGTCTGAGCCATGTTGGTGGATGCAGACTACTTGTTTGGGGTCCGCGTAACTATCGTAACCAATGGTTGGAGACTGTGGGTGAAATGGCTCAGAATCGATCACAGTGGCGTCGGTGTATACACTCTTTGTCTTCCACTGAACTATGAGATTAAAATCGCTTTATACCTTTCTTTCTACGAACTAATTCTCTCTCCCTGTATTATATGCTTATATACAATCTTTTTTTTTATTTATTACTACCATTGAAGTGACTACTTCGATGAATTTGGTATTCATTTTGTTATGCTAATGAGGTGTGGCAACTTGGACCAATGCACATATGTGCCTGATCGTACGTTGTAGCTGACTGACTGACAGAACTGTGGATAAGGAGAGTTGGGAAAGTCGGACTGGAAACCAACAGTTCCTAATAGCTGGATAATTAGTAAATGGAGTTTGGAGTTGTTTTATCCTACTGTATCGTATTCCCTGTATACGATATTTCACTCGACTGTTCCTAAGTGACATCAAGAAATAAAAAGGAACAATACATATTCAGATAAGTCGAAACAACAATAATTCATTAGTGAACACATTAGATTATATTTAGAATCTTTATAAAAATCATTCGGAATCTTCTCGTTTCGATTGTGATCAGTACATGCAACAAAACTAAATTGTCGTTACTTTGTGATTATTTGTTCTTTTTTTCCTTTTAAATAGATAATGTATGTCAACAACCATATCATGAGTCACTTGTTAATCGATCAATTAAGAACATAGAAAAAAAGTCAGTTATCGATGAACTATTGAGTACTGATGAAGTTGAAGAAGATCCTGCTGACTGTTTAAGATTAAGTAAAGTTTATCGTCGTCATCCTCCTGAACATTATTGTGAATTAATAAAACGTTATTGTAAAGCAGGTGATACAAATTCAGCATTATCTGTAAGAATTTATTCTCTTCCATTTTTCGTTGTTAATGTTTTCTTACATTGGTCTACCATTTGAATTGTTATATTTTCCTGCACCAACATAAATAATACTGACTTTTTATGTGAGTTGGGAAGTGCTTTGAACTGTTATTCGTTAGCTAAATGGGGTCTTGTTCAGTCGGACTCGAGCTACACTGTTCATATGGTGGCCTGTGATTTTCTAGGTGGCTTTGAGAACCGAATTTGGGTTTGGATACTCCAGTTTAACGGTTTAAGATCGAACACTAATCGCTAAACTCCATATCTCATAAAATTAACTTTTATTGAACCTTAAATAATAGTTTGCAACCATGGGATGCTTTACTTTGCTATTTGATACTTGCACATATTTCTGGACGTTTTTATATCAGGATTGAAATGTTTCCTGTAGGTATTTTTCTCTGAAATGTTGGAAAAGGATCGTGTTCTTCCATCGAGATTTCATGCTCATATGGTTCTGGATGGTTTGGCCAGAGTTGGAGACAGTGAGAATGCATTTCGCGTTTATAAAAAGATGACTGAATTGGGTATCGATGCAACCCAGGCAACTTACTCACGTCTGTTTCGGTTAGTTTGAAGGATTCCCAGTAAATGTGAATGCTGTTAGTTGTTTTGTTTGGTAAGATTGTTGATGTGATAATTGTATTTAAAAAGAAAACTAGTAACTACTTGAAATCTTTCGATTTACTAGCATCTATTCATTGTTTTATTTTAAGTTGTGTCACCTCAACATTGAGTAAGAAAGATTGTCTCAGCAGAGTTCTCTTTTTGGTGAATTCATTTTCACAGCTGTACAACTGCGCATGCATTTATATATATACTTAATTTTCAAGATGATAATAGTTACAATAATGGTGATAATAAAATTTCGTTAAATATGGTAACAGTTAGTTAGAATAAACACAAGTATTGAAGCGTTATTTTTATCAGGGAAACTGATAATATTATCAGAATAGGGCTTTGTGTATATTTTAGTAGTTTAATAGTTGAGTTCATGAGTCAATTGAAGCTCGACTACCATGGAAAACCTGAAAGCACTGGACGGCCATTTCGCTCTATTGTGGGATTTCTCAGTAGTACGCATCGACGATGCCGTCTCTCGAGATTCGAACCCACGATCTATCGGTCTCGCGCGCGAACACTTAACCTCTAGACCACTGAGCCTGCATCCAACAGTGCTAATGTCTAACTTCAACCAATCCACGAGATTGACCGACACATTCACCATTGTCTTCAGTGAGTTACTATCTCACAACAGACCTGGTTGAACTCCACTGGTCACTGCTTCTCACTAGAACTCCAGGAAATAACTCTTGAGCATATGATGATTATTATGAGCAGAGTTTTGTGGTTTTATTGTTAAAGCTTTGAATATTCATTATGAAGATAATAGAGAAGTTATAATTGGGAAAAGGAGGTTCAGCATGATAAGATAAAATGTAGTCAGGATGAAACAGAAATAAATCAGCTGGGGGTAAAAGATGTATAGAGAAAATAGAAAGGGAATCAGATGGTGGTAAAGGAAAAAACGTATGAAGAAGAAATAAAATTGTGAGACATTAAGATCATGGTAGAAGAAGAGGTTGTACCAATTTCTGTTGGACCGCATAATTCTGGTTTTTCCAGCCATTGATTCGGCAATGTTAATAAGATGCAATGTAACTGTCTTTAGAAGCCTTCTACTTACCTTGTATATATGACTTTAAATGCAGAGTCCACTTTGATTGAGTGACCTGTGTTCACATGGTGTTCGATTATTGAGCTTCTTGTTGACCCGTTTCCTCCTCTTTATAGCCAAGCCGAGTAATCTTCTTGAATTCTTTGGGATAAAGTAAGCATTGAACGACCTATATTACCTGGTTCCACATGAACGGATAAATTGATAAACCCACATGGAGTTGGTCAGATGAGATAATTTATCCTTAAAATTACTGATGAACATTGGTCGGCTGTAGAAATGCTTACTATTGATTATATATAGTCCGTGTAATTGGAGCAGGTTCCAACACTCACCTCAATTACTTGTCTTTGGGTACATGTTTACTGTGACCAGGTTTCATACAAACAGTATGGCTCGAAACTGAGTGCATAAATATGTACTTCGTGAGTGATTTTTGAGGTAGGTTATCGTCCTCTCTAACAGACAATAGTATTTTCTTACACTTATAACTTACGTGACTAAATAATGTTCTGAGTATAGGAAATTTGAGTCTCAGCGTTTTTTAAAATTCATTTACTATAGATTTTACTAAATTAGTAAATAGTGTATCCTATATGTTTTAGTTTCTATTTGCTGACAAATCGACATATGTGATTTATTGAATTATGATGAATTTATTGTTTAGCGCTTGCGCTGAGGATATTGCAACATGGTTTCGAAAGAATAGAACTTTTATGCCACCTGTTGTAAATCGTACTGAGAACCATTCATTGTTATTACAGCGTAAAATGTAAGTTGTATTTTGCATGGGAATCATAATGATGTATAAATGCCTTTTTCGTTGAAGAAATAACGACTCAGTCCAACTGTCAGTCAGTAACAACGTAGAACTTCGTACGTACGTACATCAGTTCGAGTTGCCATACCACATTAGCACAGAGATGCAGTTGTCGATTCAAATCCAACTATGTATACATTTACTACTCGTTGATTTGCCTTATATTAGTTTTTCTGTTCACTTATTTGTGCTTTACTGAACTGAACCTCCACGTTCCAAGAGATGAGGCAGTTAATTAAGTAAAGTTAAAAGGGAACTTGTTGTAGTTTGATTTGGTCTGATGATAAACTGGGATGCAACACTTATTTATTAGTGACAACAACATTGCTTCATCTGTAGGTATCATTATCAAGGTTTGATTTGATAGTTTCGAATAAATTAAGCATTGGGTAGATTGTTATAAATAAACAATATATTTGTAATATCTCAATGAGTAGAAAAATGAGGTTTTCTGACGTTTCGTGACTTAGTGTAAGCCACTTTTTTAATTCTCTGAAGAAGTGGTTTACACTAAGTCACGAAACGTCAGTAAATGTAATTTTTCTACTCATTGGGATATCACAAATATATTATTTATTTATAATGCTTCATCTGTTAATCACGCACGTAGGTAATAAGATGAATGAAATTGGTCTTTTACAAGAGAGAGTTTACTATTTGTATAGGAGTTGATATTACTACACAACTCGTTTGTATGTAGTGACCTTAGAAAATATAAAACGAATTACACTGAAATGTGAAGTAATTAAGTCACGAAGGAAAAGCGACATTCGTTTGCGATGAATGTGAACGGTAGACTTGTTGAAGAAATTTAAGAATAGAGATTGTGAACATGAAGAACAAACAAGATATTTTAAACAGTATTCCTGGGAAACATTTGGTGTTTATTGTGTGGTTGATTGTTAATATTCCGAGTGAACTGTTTCGACGTAGTAGTTATCGGGACTCGTAGACTCTTAGCTTTAGAGAATTTTCCTAGTGGTTATGGTGACTCCTGACACCTATATTTGAAAACGATGTATGAATATGGATGTTTGTTGGGATCTACCATGAACTTTGCAACCGGTTTTCGACAGTGTTTCATTCCCCAATGATTTTAGGGTGTTTCTCCCATCCTAGTAAGTATGAAATTTCAAGCATTGTCGAGCTGCACTCGGACACTATGCCCATTAACCTGTTGTGAAGTGTACTTTCAGCGATTATGTGAATCATAGCTGCTAAACACCACAGTTGCTCTTTATATATGAGTTTTGGGTTAATGTCTTTCTGAATGTTTTGTTCGATATCAGTGTTGTTTGGTTTTGCGGTTTCTAGAAAATATTTCGAGAAATTATAGATAATGACTAACAATTAGTTGTATTCATATTGAGGAAATGGTGTAAAACTCTCTCTTTGTGCTTGGAGATATTTCTTGATTTATTTTGTTTAAAATATCCAATATATTGTGTCTTTTATTTTATACACATGGTTTACAATTTCACATCTTGACTGTGATAAAGTCAATTATTTGAACTTCTATCACCGTCACAATGCCGTCCAGATTTTTATTTTTATATTGGTGTCAAATAAGATTTTACTTCCTTGAGCTTTCTTTATTAACATTAACTGGACATGAGACAAGAAATGAATTATTCGATTCCCCTACAACTGTGTCTATTTATTATTTTTATTACATAGGCTGGCTCTTCAGAAAGCGTTGGCTCCAGACATGTCACCAGATAACTTTGGTGGACCTGCACTTCATAAAGTGTATCTTTTCTGGCGTCGTTTAATGGAAAAAAATATCCCAATGAATCAATTTACATACAATACACTTATTTTGGCTCTTGCCAAAGGTATGTAGTTTATTTTTGTTTGAGTTAAATGTGATATAGAAATATTAACATTGAAGTTGGATAAAGTGTGAAGTTAACTAACTTAATTTGAAGTGTGTTGAAACGTTGGAATTTCTGCCATTAAGTTCCATGTTTGAGCCCCTTCCCACCTACTCCGGTCTCGGGAACCAGGTAGTATAATCATCTCTTACACTTAGAGTATGGCACATACTGATCACAACTGAACCATTAACTTTCTGTCTTGGGAACTAAAAGTGTTGATTGCTTAAACTGATTAACACTTGACTGGTGTTATCCTGCAGTTAGTGTTGTGGACCATGTCTCGACGTGGTCACACTGTGTGTTCTGAGGGTGTTATTCTAGGGACTGAAACTAGAGCAGATGCTCGGGGAGTATGTATCCCCATTGGGTGAGTGATTTGGTCATTCAATATCAAACCATCCTGGACGTGACTGATGATTGTTTCTGATAAACCTAGTTGTCGAACGAACTGGTTCCAAAGGAACCTGGGTAAAATATGTGTGTATAGTCCAGACGTTTGGAATTTCTCAGTTCATTGTTGTTCTCTGTGTTCTGAAGCGATACTTCCAATCTGTTACTTTATCATGGTCGTAAGCTGCATTTTAGTTTTGTAAGCTATTTTCGACATGTGCTTGTTTCTTCCTTGTCTTCTTTATACTAATCTTTTAAATGTAGTGTATGGACTTTGAGGTGTAGGTGGTGAAACGACCACAAGGCTATTGAAGTTCTGTTAACAATACTGGGGACTGTAACTGCCAGTGATATTTTGCTGACTAAATTTTCCACATGACCTTTGCTTCTTTGTAACTGACTGGTTGCCGGTGCTTCAGTTTACTGAATTTCTGTGTGCTTGAAGGTCATGTTCCCGTTAGCGTATTATCTAGGGAGTTGTGGCATTCGTTTTGTTCTGGATTTTCAACTTCAGATATCACGTTTTCTCACAATTCATCTTCTCTTTGTGTTGGGGGCCAGGTGCTGGAGTGTTGTGTGTTAGTTGCCGTTATCAATTTACGAAATAGAACCGGTCGTATTAGAGCAAATCAATCATTCCCAATTCCTCAAGTATCGTTTGCCCGTTCCGAACCCCAAATACCAAGATATAAAAGAAGGAAAGTCAGTGAATCCAAAAGTAGTGTTCTTGAGCCATTCCACTTTGTTTGTCAGCATATGACATCATCATGAATGTTTAAATTTTTGTGGTGAACGGATAACAAATGTTAACATTTTTTATGATAACTGATGCTGAATGCATATTCAACTATTTATATTGTTCATTATTCGAATTCCATTTCAGCTGGTGATATTCATGGTTGTCTGCGTGCCTTGGATATGATGTTGGCAACTGAAAATATTGATCGTTTTTCTCGAAAATCAATTGGATGTAAAAATAAATTGTTGTTTGCCGATTCTTTCACAATATCATCTGTACTCTCGGCTATTGAACCAGCTAGTGCGAAGAGAAATCTCGAATCGTGTCGTCGACGTATGGGTTTATCGAAACAATCAGCGAACTCAAATGATGTTTTCAATCGTGTTAGCCCATTCCAACTAGCTTTATCTTTATGGCATGATTTAGTTCCATTGTCAAATAATGATGTTGCTCCGCATCATTTCACTTTACTAGCCAGAATAATGGGGTTGCAAAATGACTGTTTGGATGCAAATAATAATTGTGAAATAGTTTTTGTGAATAACACTCGTTATAAGTCATTTCAAGATATATTTAAATCTTCTTCTGGCGACTCATCCAGTTCTGTAAATCTAATACATCCTTCCTGTACATCACGTGAATTGGCGTCAATGATGATTGCACAAGCTACACAATCTTCATTATTAAGCAGCACGTCTACCGTTGAATTAAAGTCGACCAGTAGTGAATCAATGATTGACGAAACACCGGAATCCCTTCAGTTTGATTGGAATGATACAATGTTAGCACTTCGTAGCCCAATAAATCTTCTTTTGCCTACTGATAAACCAATAGTAGTACGTTGAATTTCCATAAAACTTTTGTGTACAGATTAGAAAGTCTTTGAATTGTAGAATATCAGAATCCGTTTAAGTTATTTTTGATGAATGATATGATTGGTTGAGTAGGGGGGATATATTTATTGTGATTTGTGATTGTTGAAGTTGGAAATGTGAAGGAAGGAGATACTTGTGAAAATAGACTGTATCGAAAGTGGTTAGGCAGGTTGATAGTCAGTCAGTCATGATGATTGTAGAGCATGAGACATATGTGCCAGATTTGAAATCCTGACTTGATAGATTTCAAATGATATATATATATATATATATATATATATAATTCAAAAATCCATTCTTGTATTTAACGTATTTATTACCGTTATCCCCTACGCGATTTTAGTCGATTAAGATATACAAGAATAGTCAGGATGTATATTTTAACCGCAATCATTCATACGATCGAATTGGAGCCAGATGTGGGGCCACAAAGCACCGACCAATGATAGTAATGACGATGATAAAGATCATTTCTATGAGAGGCTGCAACCGATCATGGCGAATCACCAAACCATCCTGATATGAGATCTAAACGCCAAAGTTGGGATGGACAACATCGGATATGAAGATATCATGAGACGACATAGACTGGGAGAAAGGGACGAGAATGGCGAGAGATTTTCAAATTTATGTGAGATCAATAAAATGGTTATAGGTGGCACTATATTACCCCCACAAGCACATGGGTCTCATCGGACCACACCACGGAGAACCAAGTCGGTCATATTTGCATCAGCGAAAAATTCAGATAGTCCGTTCAAAACTCATTGTTGTACTACAAATTCTGAAAAAGGGCACAAAGAAGGTCATTGTGAAACCTGAAAATGCTTATTACGATATAATCGACTACATTTGGGAGTCAAGACAGCCCCATCCATATTTTAGCAAGTAATAGATACTATGCTACAGGATGTTCCAGGTGCTGCAGCTTATCTGGATGACATAATTATCCCCGAATTCCCTGGCACGGCCGAATGTGAGAAGAGTCCGCTCTTCCCCTCTGAATTCTCTTACATGGCCAAGCGTATACAGCCACTGACATGGAAGTCCTACTTACTGCCTTCTCGCAGCGAGGGTGTTGTTTATGAAATTGAGAGGATGAAAAACGAATGTCCGACGCTCTAACCGGGTTGGTGGACACTAAGGGTCCACCTAGAGGAGTTGGAGAACACTGATTCCAAACCAATGGTGCATATGGGCTCCAGTATCCTGAAGGAACAAATGGCGTATGAACCAATTGTTGGTCACCGGTTACTATAGGACTGCATCTCCTGATGTTGCTACACTGTTGTGAATTAGACCTTCAGGCCAAAGGCTTGGGGTGTGGTCCTCTGCGAAAACTACCTGCTTCAGTCTGTGCACTCGGGTAGTATCACAGCCCACACACAAATCACGAGACTTGTGTGGTGCATATTTATTCGGTGCCTCTTTGAACCAATATTTATGTGTTCAAATAAATAATAATTATGGCAGTAGATAGAAAGTACTCAGAAAAGAAGCTCGACCAGGTTCTGTCGCGTACAGCCGAATATGGACTCCGGCTCCGTACAGAAAAATGTAACTTTAGCATGCACAAGGTACGTTACCTCGGGTTTATAATCGGTAAAGGTGTCAGAATATCAAACCTAGAGAATGCTCAGGCAGTGAAAGCTATGCCTAGACTGACGGACGTCCACATCCTACGATCCTTTTTGGGACTAGTTAGTTATTATGGAGCTTTAAGAGAAGTTAAGAGTTATCTTCTCACCAAGTGGCCGAACCGTCATTTTCAATGAGGACTTCTACAATATTTTCGCTGGTGGGACTGATATTTGATTTTCGTTTCATTTATCATGTTCGATGGCAGAGGTCTTGTTCCGAAAACATTGCGCCACAAGGTTTTGAAACAATTCCACAGAGGCCATCTCGGCATCAATAAAATGAAATCGTTGGCTCGAAGCTATGCTTACTGGCATAAAATGGACCAATGTATCGAAACTAGATGTTGCAAGCAGCCAAAAGTCTAGAGAAATGTAAACCACAACATTGAACGAAACCTAATAGTCCCTGGGAGAGGCTACATGCAGATTTTGCCGGCTTAGTACCAGGAACAACGTTTTTAGTCATAGTGGATGCACTCACAAAATGGCCACAAATCTTTGCTATGGCAAGCCTCACAGCCAGTGAAACAATCAACAAGTAATCTGAATTGTTTAGCTGTTTCGACATTCTGGAGACTTTGGTGACCGACAACGGTTCACAATTCACTTTAGAATCATTCAAGCACTTCTGCAGCATTAATGGAAGTACAGATATACGCCTCCCACCCTATCACCCTCAGTCACATATACAGGCAGAACGCTTCGTTGACACATTTAACAGAGCATTACTGAAACGGGGAGACAAGGGGACAAGCCAGGTAATTACAAAATTTTTAACGGCTTATAGAACTACACACAACCCTATTATCCCAGTTTGAAAGTCCCCTGCTGAAGCTATGTTCATAAAAATTCGAACTATGTCCGGCGCCATATTGCCACCTAGACCAGTGGATGGACGCAGACAATATCAGAGTATCCGAAGTTTTAACTAGGGTGATAAAGTAGTCACAGAATCATTCCTTTGAAAAAATCGTTTGGAACCGGGAGTCATTGAAAAGAGAATAAGAAATGTTTTGTACAAAGTGCATGGGACTTTTGGAATATGGATTAGATACCAACCGAATCCATATAGAAAAAAGGACGTTGAATATGGTAGATAAACGGACACTCATAGTCGCTGGACACTAAGAAAGTCAGAACACCTGAGGAAAGCAGTCATCAAGCTGCAAGTAGGCGCGAGGAGAAAGTTTAATTTTTTGAAAGGGGGAAGGTGTTGGAGAGACCCAGAAGGTTCCTCGAAAAAATCCTAGTGGGAACCCGAAAACGTTGAGAAACATCTTATACAGTCGGCATTCAATAGGAGTTTCTCAGAAACATCTGGAAGGTGAAAAGTCACATTTCCGACAGGGTGATTGCCTATCCTGCTACTGCATGTATAAGGGTTCTGGAACATTCCAGAAGTTCAAAACCATCTAAAATGTTATAAATATCCTAGATTTTCTGTACATAAATTAACCTTGGAGTAAAGCATTTTTTCCGTATTCCTCGCCCTTTCGTGTTCAAGTTGCCATTTAGATTTAGCCTGTGGGTTATTATAAGAGCATAGGAAACCAAATCAAGCGCTCAATCAGAAGATTCATTCACCAGTTTCTTGTGTTTGTGCCACATCTGGACGTTCGAAGCGAAGTAGATGGAGCGGTGTTCGAATATAAGACTTAGTGGTCGATTGTCTCACGCCTCAACCATTAGTTCACCACTCAAGTCTGATATAATTAACATAAAGAATGTTACAACGGTAATGTAGCCCGGATTAGCATACCGTATCAACAGGACGAGATGATACTAATTAGATGAGTAGCAAGGTTGCCGAAATACTGTAGCAATAACTAGAATGAGACAGACTGAATATTGTGAATGTGGTTTGGAAAGACAGAATGGAAACGTACATATGAAGGAACACTGGAACTGTTAAGTGAATTCTTCTGCACCATTGTGATCGATTGTTAGTCATGTTACTAGTCTCAGCAATGGTGTGAATCCCAACCAGATGGTTTGTATACATCTGCTTCAATTAAGGCAACCGGAGAGTATTCTAGAACCAACACACTTTGTGTGCGTATATATGTTGTGATGCCCCTATGTACCAATTTCATCTGTTTAAATAAACAAAAAAACAAATAGAAGGGATTTCGAAACACAGTAGATGTTTAAAATGAAGATTTATAAAAACTACGGTTTTGTGTTGTCGCATTACAAACACTCTTTTTTTCTGTCATCCTTGAACAGTAAATACTCGTGATTTTCTTCAACACTAAGGTGTACCTAAGATCGTCAATATCATACGGAATTCATACGACGGACTACACTGCAAAGTGGTGCATGAATTAAAGCTGATAGACTCATTCTAAGTGAGGACAGGAGTCGGACAATGCTGCTTAATCTCGCTCTTTCTAACTCTTCTGTTGTTCAACTGGACTATGAAGACCTTCACGTTTCAGAGGAAGCACGGAATAAAATGGACGGCTTGAATGCAGCTAGACGACTTGAACTTCACAGATGACCTAGCTTTTCTATCCCATACACATCAACAAATGCGAGTGAAGACACACAGAGTGTATCAAAACCTCGGCATCAGTAGGCCTCAAAATACACAAGGGGAAAGACAACATCCTCAAATACAACTCAGACAATACTAGCTAAATCACACTTGATGGAGAAACTCTGGAACAGGTGGAAAATTTTACATGCCTGGGAAGCGTCATCGATGAGCAAGGAGAATCTGACATAGACTTGAAGGCAAGGATTGGCAAATCAAGGACAGCATTCCTACAGTTGAAGAACATACGGAATTCAAAACAGGTCCGTTTGAACGGATACTGTCATCAACAACCCTCTGTGGTAGAGAACAAACCAGCTCCCAACTGAAGAGGAAATTAACAAAAGACTCTGCAGGTGGATAGGAAATACATTGCAAAATTCATCAAACTGCATCACAAGGCAAGCGCCAACTTGGAATACTGAAAAGAAAAGGAAGATAGGAAGACTAAAGAACACACTGTGCTGGCAATGTGAAGCACACCTCGAGAGAACGAATAGGAATTAGTAACAGCTGGAAAGGATTGCCCAGGACAGAGTTCGAAGAACAATTCTGATAGATGTTCTATGCTCCTCCACGAGGGGTAACAGGCGTAAGTAACTGAGTAAGTTACTTCACTATTGATTAAACTCAAGTTCTTCTGGTTTCAAAGTGATTCCTCTGTCACAAGATTGTTTAAGTTCAGTAAAATTCTGAATGAACAATTTTTATAAATATTTTAAAATTCCTGTTTCTTACTGTCGAATTTTAGATTTGTGGACCAAAAGACCAATGTATGTATCCTTGGCAACGTCTTGCTCTCGTTGGTGGATTGTGTGGTCTCCTGGATACTGTTGAGAATCGTTACGAATTGAAAGTGAATATTAGTTTTTTCACTTGTATCGTCAGTTTGTTGCCACCACCAGTGAAATCTGATCAGTGTTACACAAATGATGCTTTTGATACTTGGGAAACAGAAGTTTTAAATTTACTTTCAAAGTTTAAACTAACTGCTGATACTGCATTATACAATTCTTTTATTCATCGTAGAACATCATCTGGTTTGAATGCTAATCATTTATTAGCAGATATGACTCGTAAAGGGTTAATTCCTGACCAAGTAGGTTTGCTTGTCGTTCATTGTTTTATTTCCTGTTTGTGTATATTTGTGCTTTTTATTTTGATCTTATCATTTGTGATGTAGGAAATTGTGGTGGGTTGTAGTTTGACGAGAAGGCGCAAATGTAATCTCGTAGCTTGTTTGTGAAGATACATTTTAGTTGCACGTGAAGACACACTGTTTGTGTTAAGACTCATGACACTGGCGATGTGACCAAACGGAATTGGGTGGTGGTACAGGCTTCGAACCTGCGTCCTATCAGTAGGAGGTTAGTTCTTCAATCACTGGGTCATCGCTTTACAAGTGTTTTATCAGAAATGCATTAGTATAATTAGCATCGTATCGCCTTTAATCAATGCATGATCTAATATAATGTTGTCTGACGTAAGAGTAAGTTGAAAGAAAGCTAGTTGGTTATTATAGGGTGGCTTATGATGGACTGAATTTACAAAATTTTATTTATTTATTTATTTTATTTTAACACATTGATATTGGCACAAGGAGGCGCCAAATACATATGCGCCACAAAAATCTCATTCGATATGTGTGAGGGCTGTGATACTGCCCGGGTGCCCAAACCGAAGCAGGTGGTTTTCTTAGGGGGCCACTCCCCGAGCCTTCGACCTGAAGGTCTGATCCACAAGGGAGTGGAGCATCGTGAGGAGATGCAGTCCCATGCTAGCCGGTGACCGAGATTGGTTCATACACCATTTGTTCCTTCAGGATACTGGAGCCCATGTGCACCATTGGTTTGGAATCCGGTTAAAGCGCCGGATGGGCGTGGTGACGTGCTCCTGTAATCTAGCTACTTGGTGGCCAGGGTGCGGGATTTCGTGGGACCGGGAGTTCTGGCATATGGGTGCTCATGTTGATCGGGCGTCCACGTTAAGCACGGCGCCGATATGGATGACCTATCGGAGGGTGGGTTGTCCAGGTCGTCTAAGGAGGGGTGGACTGGCCCGGGGGGAAACCCAGAGGGCAAAAGTCCCTGTGTGGTGCGGTAGCGAGGTAGCGCCTGTGAATTGTGTCCATCTGACAGCCCAGCGTGAAGACCGCCTCCTTTGGCCCCCAAATGCCCTGGTACGGCCGAGAGTGGGGAGAGTCCGCTCTCCCTCTCGAAATGCTCTCACACGGCCACGCGTACTTAGCCTCTGCCAGGGATGTCCTACTCACTGCCTTCTCGAGAAAGGGGTGTTGTTTACGAAAATGAGAGGATGAAAAGCGAATGTCCGAATTTACAAAAGCTCCTTAATCGTTAAATTCTTTTCGTTATGTAGATTACTTGGGGTTGCCTAGCTCGAGGTTGTCAAACAAAAGAGTCAGTTAAACAACTTCTACGTGGATATGAGATCGCTGCTACAACCCCACTATCTTCCATTGATTTGGAGACTAACAGTATACCTCGTGAACAAAATATCCACTCACAAATTGTTAGACCAAGTTTCACATTCTTCAGTACTTTACTATCAACATCTGGATTTAATTGGGAGTTGAAGGCATTTGTTATTGAATATATGAGGTGTCCAATTCACATAGATGAGTTGTCTGATAAGAAATCTGCCATACCGAAACGCGATGTATATGGAAACCAAGTATCCAATCATTTTGATGGATTTGTGTTAGATCGCCGAGTAATCGCATCTATTGATATAGATATTGGTTTGTTTCGAGAGCTTTTGGCGAATGGTGTAATTCCGAAAGGTAAGTAGGTTATGCGAGTGTGTACTCATTTTATAGAATATACATGAAAACAATGGTTTGCAAACTTATGAGGGTTTCTGTTATCCCGTTGTTGGTAATAAGTATTGAATTTTTACCAGTTTTGATTGGAATTTGTTAATCATGAGTGTCAAATTCAGCTGGATAACGGTTAAGTTCAATTGAACAACATACTTGACATCTGAGTCAGAAAACTGTGGATTATCAATTTAATTAGTAAGGTACGGAGATTTAGCATATTTGTATTGTGGCTATCAGTGGAATTCAGGACACACATCTCATCCTGCTTTGAAGTGGTTAGTTGAATGCACATGCTACAGATACTTAATTAGCGGTTTTTTCTCATTTCAATATCGATGAAAAGATTTCTAAAGATCTTTAGTAGAAGGATTATGTTAACTTTGAGATTTGAGTCTTATATCTAGAGCTTATATTCTTGATATGCAGCGTATAACTTGAGCTCTCGAACGCTAGAACTCTCTCAAGTCGCAAATGAGAAGACAGAAGACTAGTGAAAGGAATGTTATTCCAAACAGTGTTGATTATAGTACAAAACTGTCAGGTATTTATAGTTTTTAGTAAAAACGAAATCATCTTTATAGTTATCCAATCGGCACACAGGGGGTTGTTAGCATTGTCCAGTAGGGAAGCTACACAGTGATTTTGGAATATTCTTCCAGAAGGTGATTGGATGGAATATCTTCGGCTCTTTCTGAGCTTCCTAGAGTTCACCCGTGGACCGTCTTAACAGACTCCGCCTTGCTGAACATGCTATTTAGAGTTATGAGACTTTTAAGTTACTCGCGGAAGCTCACATCTAGCTGTTTACATTTGCATTTTAAACAACCGATCTTCAAGACCACGCGAAATAACTTTGACCAAGTCACTGTAAATTTTCCTTAATATTTATTATAAATGCATGATCATTACGTAGTTACAGCTTGTGAAGGAGCATAGACCATCTATCAGAATTGTTCTTCGAACTCTGTCCTGGGCAATCCTTTCCAGCTGTTACTAATTCCTATTCGTTCTCTCGAGGTGTGCTTCACATTGCCAGCACAGTGTGTTCTTTAGTCTTCCTATCTTCCTTTTCTTTTCAGTATTCCAAGTTGGCGCTTGCCTTGTGATGCAGTTTGATGAATTTTGCAATGTATTTCCTATCCACCTGCAGAGTCTTTTGTTAATTTCCTCTTCAGTTGGGAGCTGGTTTGTTAAGATGGTGGTTGGAGGTAGTCACAGGAAACCCTGGACCTTAGTTTCGTGCTACTTGGCACTCGTCAGCAAGGTGTACCTTTAATCTTGAGGGAACTAATGCGTCCTGACGGACTCGATCCCATGTCACACAGCTTCACAGTCAGAGACGTTACTACTGAGCTATCCGGGCCGCGACTGATGTCCTGTAGGACTGAGATATATTACAATTGATTGATCACTGGGCGGTGATCAATCTCGAATAAGTTTCTATAATATTCTCCTATCCATACTGTCAAATACTTTCTCATAATGAAGGAAGTTGGTGCATAGTGACGAGTTCCATTCAATTGACTGTTCGACAATGCCCCGTAGTGTCGCTATTTGGTCTGTGCACAACCGATTCTTACGGAATCCGACCTGTTGATCTGGAATTCGGTCGTCTACTGCATCTTCCATCCGGCTCAGCAACACTTTGTTGAAAACCTATCCTGGTACCGATAGTAGTGTGGTGCCTCTGTAGTTCTCACACTTGCTCAGATCTTTTTTCTCTAGTATTTTGATGAGGTGTCCTTCTTTCCAGTCTATCTGCACTTGTTCTTCCTCCCAAACCTTCCTGAATAGAACGTGGAGCGTGTTTGCAGTTGGTTCTATGTGTGATTTTAGTGCTTCATCTAGTATATTGTCAGCTCCCAGTGCTTTCCCAATGTTCATTTATCTGATGGCTATCCTTATTTCTTCCGTCGTTGGTGTAGTGACAGTTATAGGAAGGTTTGTGTGTGCTGCTTCGATGTCTGATGGATTCTATGGAGCTGGTCAATTTAAGAGTTTCTCGAAGTGTTCTACCAATCTGTTTCTCTGTTCTTGAATCTCAGTTATTTGCTAGCCGTCTGTGTAAGCTCCTCTCTTGGTTCTCACTTTTTTTATTGAAATTCTGCATTTTTTTAGTAAAGCAAATCTGATTTATCTGGTTCTGTGTAGTGTGATCTGGTGAGGCCCATGTAGCTTTGCGTATATACTTATTGGTGAATATTGTGCCACCTATTACCAGTTTGTTGAATGCCCACACATTTGAAAATCTGTCACCATTCTCGTTCCTTTCTCCCAGTCCAGGTATTGATTTATTTAAACACGTAAACACTGGTAAAAGGAGACACTAAGTACGTATGCACCACAGAAATTATCCGATTTCCATGAGGTCTGGAATACTGTACGAGCGCCCAAACTGAAGCAGGTGACTTTCCTAGAGGGCCACATCATTAGCCTTTGATGTAGAGGTTTAATCCACAGGGTAGTAGAGCGACGTGATGAGATGCAGTTCTATGGTAGGCAGTGACCAGCGGTAGGTTCATATGTTATTTTCTTCGCTCAGGATCCTGGAGATCATGCGCACGATTCGTACGGAATAAGGGTTTTCCAACTCTCTATGTGGATCCCTCATATCCACCAATCCGGTTAAAGTGCCCGACATTCGAGCTCCGCCCTCCCATTCTCATTATCAGCAAGCCTGGTGTAAGAAGGCAGTGAGTAGAAGGGAGGGTTGACTCTCCCGACCCTCGACTGGACCAGGGAATTTGGAGCCCTAGTCCATGTTGTCGCATGATATCTTCATATCCGGTGTTGTCCATTCCGACTTTGGCGTTTAGATCTCCCATCAGGATAGTCAGATCGTTTCCTGAGCACTTCGCTATGATCGATTGCAGCCTCTCGTAGAACTGATCTTTATCATCGTCATTGCTATCATTGGTGGGTGTATAACACTGGATAAGATTCATTGTGATTCCATCCTTTCTTGTTTTGAAAGATGCTTTATCGAAGCATGTGCCGACGATGTTGTTGAGAAGGATAATTAATGCTATACGATGCAGCTCAGAGATCGAAACACGCTCAAATGAATAACAGTTTTTAATGATAGATTTTTTTAATAACTTTGTTAATCTTGATAGAAGGTACTCTGAAATGACTTTTTTCTTGATAGTAGCAAGACTTCGGACATTTAGTGAAAGAATCTCGAAGTTGTAGTGAGAATGTGACTAGTGAGGTACGACTACTGTGAAAGATTGGTATAATTCTGTGATTGAATGATATTCACATGATGTCACGAATTGACATAAATCGGTAATGAAGAAGAATGTATGAGAACCCGATAGTGGTCGTAAGGTAGCATGTTTGTTGTGAGACGTGGAAGTGCCAGGCTCGATTGGCGGATCGGTTGCAAATGTCGACTACTGACTGACGAGGCACATACTGTGAAAGTATCTGTCAGATGCTGTTTAATCTTCAACGGTTGTTGTTTATCTAAAATCAGTTTGTGATGTTTTGTCTATTTTCTAATTTGAACAATCTCCAAAAGCATCTATACTAATAGCGATTTCTACCTTATTTTTTCTTTATGATGGTAGATGGTTCACCTGTTCACGAATCAAAAACTGGTGGATTTCATGTCTATCCAAATGCTGTTCGTTCATTTTATAGATTTTATAAGATCTATAAATCTTGGCTGCGTGAAAGTCCTGTGGCGAAACCTTGTTAATGTATTTATGCATATATATGTATATATTTAGATATATGGGGAAGCAATGTAACTATTTGCTGGAATTGTTGTGCATAATAATCTGTATTTGTAGATACAATTGTTTTGAAAGTAAACTGTATTTGTTTTGATATGTTTTTATCTACATGTTTATGTGATTGTTGCTGACTATTTTGAGAATGTTTGTTGACATTATTTTTATGATATTGGGAATTTCTTCTTTCAAGTGTGTTGATGCGAGGTATGACAACATGGATCAATGAAGATTTATGAGTTATCCCTTTTGGTTGTTTATGACCTACTGACAGAGCAGTTGAACTGTGTGTTTACTGTGCATTTACTATCTTGTGTTTTAAAAAGGAAGAGCATTTAGAGCGAATGATTAGTTTACGGTGAATTTCTCGTTTGATCCTACAGTAATAGATCTATGGTTTTATTGTTTTACGATATCTAGTTTCAGGTGTATGCATACAAGTGTTGACTTAACTGAGTCGGTGTTGTAGATTTGGAATATGAATTTATAATTGTATGGAGTGATTAGAATGTTACTGAGACCAATTATTCGTCCAAGCATGTGTATAAAAGTAATTCGGTTGTGAGGTACAGGTTTGCTGAATTTTAAGTTTTATGTGAATGTTGGAATGAGAGTGGTCGGTTGTCCGAACAGAAATAGGTGTCAAGCTTGCAACAGGTTGGTTGAAATCTTAGTGTTAACCACTACTAAACCACGGGCGTATTAATTAGGCCAGTTAATCTTGTCATTTGAAAAATGATTTTCTGTGATATGGCCTAATATTAATTACTATGGCTTAAATGAGTCATGTATTAGCTTGCTACTAACCCTTGACCGCTAATCTATCTGAATAAACTCTCTGTCCTGTGATTTTGGTGGTGTTTTGTTCTCTGAGCTGGATCCAGCTCAGAGAACAAAACACCACCAAAATCATCCACCTGAGCTACAAATCTTCTCCACCATCTCTCTGTCCTGTCTCTTTTGTTTCTACATGACTTGAGTATTTAGTCATTCTTATGAGTTTTGATCAACTTTTTCCACCCAAAGTGTATATTACAAGCAGAGATCTATGGTTGGTGGCTAGCAGTGGAATCCAGGACGCGCGTTTCGTTCTGTTCGGGACTCGTCAGCTGGATGTACGTGCATCCCAGTGTTGATGTTCACTACGGGATTGAAAGCTAGTGCCGTTTCAAACTCCTTCGGTTTATCCACGTAGCTAGTTAGTCCAGACTGTCACTGACTTGTGCAATGTGGTAAATTTTAATTAATTTTGTATCAGATGTTTGAATCTTGAACTCAATCGTACAAGCTAGTGACTATCTGGACTCACCAACTAAGTGTATAATGCGGTGGCGTTTGAAGCGAACGACACTGGATTCCAGTCCTGTAGCGAACATCAACTTTGGGATCTATGTACATGCCTATATTTTAAATGGATTTTAGTTTGGTTGAGCGAATTTAACGTTTCCCCTTTAGTTCTTATGCATTGCTGAATCGAATATCTAGAAAACTTGGTGATTATCTAACGGAATGTAAAATAATCATATCTATCGGACTGAAGAGGTAGAATTTAGGAGCATGTTCAAAAGCAAATGTTTAAGATTTTTAGATGGTGTGTGCTGAAGATGATAAGGACTAGATGTAATTGAGCCTGTGACGAATTTTTACTTTCCAAATGTTCGACCACTGCCCTTAGACATGCTGGTTCTGTTCATGGAAGTTCGGCTAAGTTTTACTTAATGCAATATTGTATATTGAAGTTTTAAATGAAGTATGAAATGTGAGCTAGTTCCAGTATATTGTTGACCATTACCCTGTACAAGAGAGTGAAAATGATTATGTGATGAGCAGGATTGTGTAAGTTATGCACCCACTTCTTGTCATGTTATTGAACTGATAGACTCGGTATCAAAACACTAACTGCATATTTCTGTGAATAGTTTACGTTATAGAGGATAGGTTCGATTCCCTCACTGAACTGTTTTATGATGGGATATCTATCAGAGAGTGACCTCATTTGATGCTAGCCGTTTCACTTCTGTTATCAAAATATCTGTGAGATAGAGGATTAATTGACAAGCTCAGCTGTTATATTTCCGCGTAGTTTTCGTAATGGTTAGTTCAATTAAGTGTTGTTAAGTTTTATTTTTGTTTTGGCTACTGCACAATATGCATCAATGTATCTGTTGATTTCTACTTTGGTATCTAGTGATTTTAGTGCCGATAATGATCATCGGTTGCTCCAAACTTTGTAATCTACTGAAATCATCGGTATGTTTTTATCTAGAGTTCTAACTGTGTTAAAGCTTTATTATCGTAGAATTCAACCGATCACTGCTTGTAGCCTTTTGTTGTGGAGACGTTCCCAATCACACTGCAAGGTCAATTTATCTACTCGTGATCTTGTGGAAGTGGTTAACCAAAAAGCCAAAATTCACAAATATATAAAGCCACAAGAGCCTGAAGAACCTTTGTACGTGAATAGCCTGGAAAGATGTGACTCAGAAGAGGATTTGAACGTCATATCGGAAAATGATCAGTTGGATTTTGGTGCTCTTAGTGCGGGTGGGTGACTAAATATGCGTTGTTTTTGTGATATTTTGCAAGAATGCTGCCAGTGTTATTTCTGTATTGTAAGAAGGGAACTGTAAAGATGCCAATATTGGTGTGTGGAGTGGAAGATGTTTGTGTTGTGACAGTGGTTTAGTCGTTGCATAAGTGAAAATGTGGTTTGATGGTGCAGAATTTAGGGTCAGACTACTTTGTGATGAGTTTGAACCTTTCTTCATGCTTAATTCTATAAAGCAGGTGTAGACTTGTTCTACTGTCACTTTTGTGCAAATTAACCATACTAAATGGTTTGGTGATGACGCTGATAAAATGGTAGCACTGAGTGACGGCTGCGAAACGTGATCATTAAGAGTAGAAGATACTCGTAAATTGTTAGTATTTGATCATAGATATTTTAGAAATACTGCTCGCATCCGCTGGGGTCACCGGGTAAGTAATAGTGAGGTTAGACTCAGGGTATTAGAGAATGATGGTAAATCAGTTGATGAGGTTGTAAATCTTCATCGAGTGAGATGTTTGGGTCACGTGTTGCGTATGCCTGAACACCGATCACTACGACGCGTAATGCTCACCAGTATTGGAGATGAATGGGAAAGAGTTAGGGACGGCCAAACCAGAACGTGACATCAGTGCTTGAAGTCACTAACTTCTGGTCTGAGCCATGTTGGTGGATGCAGACTACTTGTTTGGGGTCCGCGTGACTATCGTAACCAATGGTTGGAGACTGTGGGTGACATGCAACGGTCAGGACTCTCCTACTCCCTAGCAGGACTACTGGAGTGATTATTTGTTCTTTTTTTCCTTTTAAATAGATAATGTATGTCAACAACCATATCAGGAGTCAGTTATTTCTGGAGAAAGGGAAGCAATAGAATCGGTTATCGATGAACTATTGAGTACTGATGAAGTTGAAGAAGATCCTGCTGACTGTTTAAGATTAAGTAACGTTTATCGTCGTCATCCTCCTGAACATTATTGTGAATTAATAAAACGTTATTTTAAAGCAGGTGATACAAATTCAGCATTATCAGTAAGAATTTATTCTCTTCCATTTTTCGTTGTTAATGTTTTCTTACATTGGTCTACCATTTGAATTGTTATATTTTCCTGCACCAACATAAATAATACTGACTTTTTATGTGAGTTGGGAAGTGCTTTGAACTGTTATTCGTTAGCTAAATGGGGTCTTGTTCAGTCGGACTCGAGCTACACTGTTCATATGGTGGCCTGTGATTTTCTAGGTGGCTTTGAGAACCGAATTTGGGTTTGGATACTCCAGTTTAACGGTTTAAGATCGAACACTAATCGCTAAACTCCATATCTCATAAAATTAACTTTTATTGAACCTTAAATAATAGTTTGCAACCATGGGATGCTTTACTTTGCTATTTGATACTTGCACATATTTCTGGACGTTTTTATATCAGGATTGAAATGTTTCCTGTAGGTATTTTTCTCTGAAATGTTGGAAAAGGATCGTGTTCTTCCATCGAGATTTCATGCTCATATGGTTCTGGATGGTTTGGCCAGAGTTGGAGACAGTGAGAATGCATTTCGCGTTTATAAAAAGATGACTGAATTGGGTATCGATGCAACCCAGGCAACTTACTCACGTCTGTTTCGGTTAGTTTGAAGGATTCCCAGTAAATGTGAATGCTGTTAGTTGTTTTGTTTGGTAAGATTGTTGATGTGATAATTGTATTTAAAAAGAAAACTAGTAACTACTTGAAATCTTTCGATTTACTAGCATCTATTCATTGTTTTATTTTAAGTTGTGTCACCTCAACATTGAGTAAGAAAGATTGTCTCAGCAGAGTTCTCTTTTTGGTGAATTCATTTTCACAACTGTACAACTGCGCATGCATTTATATATATACTTAATTTTCAAGATGATAATAGTTACAATAATGGCGATAATAAAATTTCGTTAAATATGGTAACAGTTAGTTAGAATAAACACAAGTATTGAAGCGTTATTTTTATCAGGGAAACTGATAATATTATCAGACCTGAAGGTCTGATCCACAAGGCAGTGGAGCATCGTGAGGAGATGCAGTCCCATGGAAGCCGGTGACCAACGATTGGTTCATACGCCATTTGTTCCTTCAGGATACTGGAGCCCATGTGCACCAATGGTTTGGAATCCGGGTAAAGCGCCGGACATTCGCTTTTCGTCCTCTCACTTTCGTAAACAACACCCCCGCACGAGAAGGCAGTGAGTAGGACTTCTCTGGCAGAGGCTATATACGCGTGGCCGTGTGAGAGCATTTCGAAAGGGAGAGCGGACTCTCCCCACTCTCGGCCGTACCAGGGCATTTGGGGGCCATTAAGACCATGGTAGAAGAAGAGGTTGTACCAATTTCTGTTGGACCGCATAATTCTGGTTTTTCCAGCTATTGATTCGGCAATGTTAATA